TAACAAAATGCTTACAAAATTGAATATTACCCTTACAAAACCTTCGGTAAAATATTTTCCTTTGTAGGTACGAGGTGTGTTCAGAACATAACAGGAATTGTTAAATTTCGCGGGTTCAGAGGATCCAATTTTGCTTAAAAAATTAAATAAATTCTGTGAAATGTTAACAAAGGCCTATAGTGAGTCCGCTATAAGTAAAACAAGAGTTAAAAGTGGTATAAGAGTTTCCAAGACGTTGAAGATGACGAACGCACAAGCACATTAACAACCGATAAAAACATGGAAAAAGTGGAAGAAATGGTTATAAACCATCAGAAAAGTCGCTGATGATGTTGGTATATCGATTGGCTTTTCCCATTAAATTTTTTCGAATGTTTTGGGTATGAAACGCGTGGCAGCAAAATTTTTTCTAAAATTGTTAAATTTTGAACAAAATTTTTGGCCAAAAACAATACTGTAATGATGCCCCAGCCTCCATATTCGCCAGACATGCCTCTGTCTGACTTTTTCCTATTTCCAAAAATAAAGAGAACCTTAAAGGGCTGTCGTTTTGCAAGCATAGATGACATTAAAAGCGCATCGCTGAAAGAACTAAAGGCTATCCCAGATGGAGTTTTAGAAGTGTTACGAGTATTGGAAGGCGACAACATTAATGTAGACGAATAAATAAATATTTGTTTCAAAAAACGAAAATTCCCGATATTTTCTGAACACACCTCGTACAATGGATCTATAGATTAGATTCTACTTATTTATGATTGTAAAAAAAATTAAAGAAATTGATCAAAATAGATATCCAAACATGTTAATTTTAAAATAGTAGGTAAAAATAAAATTGACTAAAATCATAAAAACAGTGATGGCTACAATATTCAATCCCATATACTCTACTGTAGCAAACTAATACCCATCAACGATTTACATGCAGAAGTTCTGCATCAGACGCTCATTCCATCGCTGGAAAGGGGATTGGAGGAGGTCCCCAACGGGCCGTTATGCCAAGCCTGGAACTCCAAGCACCTAGAACGGGGTAGACGACCCCCAAACTACGAAAATTCGCTACCCGGGCCCCCAGACTAGACGTCTGCGTCTCATTATCGGCAATGACATTGACCTGGCAACGACGTCCTTAGCGACGGTGCCGTATCATCGATTTTTTCACTTGTTTACCCGCTCCGACCTGTTGGGAATTTTAAGGGATCGATTTAATACTCTATTATTTAATTTTTTACTATAAAAACATTTAAATTAAGTGTGTAGGTAGGTAATAATAGAGAACAAACGATCATTTTTTTATTGTAAAATATAATAAAAAAATTCCTTTTTTATTCTAATGCCCATAAATATAAAATAGTAATCAAGAATGCTGTTTAGTTTTTTTGAAATATTAAACCCCTTTATATAAACTTTTGTATTTTTCTGTTTAATAATAGCCTTTATCAAAATTATAAATATAGTCAGGATGGCCGAGTGGTCTAAGGCGCTGCGTTCAGGTCGCAGTCTACTCTGTAGGCGTGGGTTCGAATCCCACTTCTGACAAAACATTTTTTTTTGTTTTTTTAAAATTTTTTTTTTAATTTATTCATATATTATATCACGAGAACTATAAATTTAATCGATTAAACTAGGCTCAGTAGTTTTTTGTTTGGTTTTTCTTGGAAAATGTTGAATGCAAAATAATTTAATAAAATCCCGAGACCGCATAGTTTGACAGATTAAATTTATATACGCCTAGATTATTTCTCGAATTGAAGGAAACTATTTGACAATTCATAAAATCTGACGTATGTGTCAAAATTTAAAAATATTTTTTTAAAGAAAATTCCATTAATTTAAGGTATGTAATAAGTAATAATTGATATTTCGTAAACTAGATAACTTATTTTTATTGCTTTTTAAAAAATGTTTATTAAAACTTGTAAATAACACCATAAAATCGTAAACAAAAATCCAATATGGAGGCTAAAATTTAATCGCTGTTAAATAGTTCTAGTGATTTAATCGCTTATTTAAACGAAATTTATTCGAAAATTCAAGACTTTTGATTGGTTTATATTATAATGAGGGAAATAATCCAATATAAACCAACAGAAAATGAAAAAGATCCAATAAATTAACATTTATTTATAAATCAAGTTATCAAAAAATCAAAAATCAAAAACTAACTTTTATCTATTTTGCGTTCATAATGACTTCATTATAACACCGCTTTCGGTGCTGTAATGAGATACTTTATCCCACCCAAAATTTTGATTTTATAGGTTTATAGTATAATATTTTGCATATTGGTTATAATATTTGTATGATTTTTCTAGTACTCACGATACTTTTCTGGCATAAATTTTGTTTAACACCAAAGAAAATCCTTTTTTTCTTCTTTAACATTAACAGCCGCTTATTGTAAATAAGTAAATTAAGGACGGCATGGCGAATCGATTTTGACATTAACTGTCAAACCAATGACTGTGATACCAACTATCTAAAGTAAAATTCGACCAAATTAAATTTAAGGTATAAAATTAATTTTTTATAGAATTTTTGCAAACTAGATAAAATAGCATAAAGAAGTCATGTCATAAGACCTTTCGTCGCACTCGTCCATTACAAAACTCGCTACGACATTAGTTCTTTAATATACTAATCTGACCTATAGGTTAAATGAGTGTAGAAAAGTTTATAAACTTTACTTTTTTTACGACAAATACTTATTATTATCCAAAAATGATTTAAATCAAATATTTGTCTAGAGCGACATCTATAAAACAATAGAGTAAACGTAAGAATGGGAATCTGTATTATCGACGGCAAATGTCAAAATTTCTGTGTAAATCGAAATTTGTCCCTTGAAAATGGACTAACAACCATTTAATGTTGATATAGAAGCAGATTACAATTTGTTGTAAACGTAACATAAAGTTATTTGGACCTGGATTAACTTAAAATCTGGTTATTATTTGGTTAAAATTAACAAATATTGTTTTACTGTGTAGCTAATGTGAATCAAGCTTTACGAGTTACGCTCAATTTTCCAGAAGGCATCAATATTCAATTATTTCTTTTTTATCTTTCACCTTTACAAAAAGATAAAAATAGGACAGAGATAACATTGCTTGTAACACGAGGGTTTTAACTCTTAATTGTTCGTTCGTTCGTGAAAGAAATTCAATTCTCGAATCCATTTACGCGTTTATTTACATTCAGTCTACATCTGCTAACTATTCAATTACTCGCCTATTTTATTTTCAAACTGCGCATCGCACTTAGCAAACCTACCCCAACGTTTATTTTTAACCGCTCCTGTGGAAGCGCAGTTGCCAAGTTTAATCGATATAAAGAAGACCCTGTATTTTTGTCAGTCGTTTCTACGAAAAATACTTATTATCTTAAAATGATTAAAATCAAGAATTTGTATGGAGCGCCATCTATGAAACAATAGGGGAATCCGTGTGTCACCGTCAAATGTCAAATTTTTATATTTTATAAACACAGATTATAAAGGTTATAAATCGAAATGTATTCCTTGAAAATTGACAGTTTTTCACATTGAAAGTAAAGAAAATATTTTATGAGCACTTTACAGAGGAGTCCGAGCCCGAATTTAAGTAATAGTTTACTGCCGGCGAAATTAAAAGGTCAGTACAATGTTCATATAAACTTTTCAAATATTGGCGTTGAGAAACTATTTAATACTTTTGTATTTTTGTATTGAGATAATAAAATAATTTTCACATTTAGGATTATTTTACAAGACAGGCACTTTATTAAAACTATCAACTAACTTAAAACTAACTTCAGCCCGTGACTAAAAACCTGTTGCTAACTTCAGCCCGTGACTAAAGTGCCATGAAGCCACAACTTGTCAATGTGTATTTAAAAGGTCACTTAGTGTCATGTACGATAAAGGGCGTTTTAAAGGTGGGAGTAGAAAAAATATTTTAAATATAAAATACAAATGCAAAACTTTGCAAATATTGATTTTTGCATTTTACATAAAAAATATTTTTTTATTATCAATTTTTTTGAGTTTAAAAAAAAAATATTTTTTTTAACTATTTTGGAAGAAAATGTTTTATATGTGTTTTTATTTTAAATGTCTTGACACTATTTTTAAACACTTAAAAATTTAACAATTTACCAATTTAATCTAAATAATTTTATAAAAAAATTATTTAAGATTTACAAAATTCTGCCCTAATAAATTATACTTTTAAAAAATGATGGTTAGAAATTTTTGCAAAAATTGATTTAAAATTTTTTATAGTAAATTTTGTCTTCAATACATGATAGTTAAAAATATATAAATTTATAAATTTAAAACTAAAATTTTCAGATAGGAAAATTTTAAACCAATAATATTTTAAATTAAATAATTATTTAATACATGTTAAAACGGCGTGCCATATTTCTTGATTTTATTTTATTTTCTCAAACCTTAAACTTTTAAGTAATAAAAAACAGTTAACATTTTATCCCTAAGAAAAAGAGGATAAAAATGGCGAGGACAAAATTTCTTCATTTAACTTTTGCTGAAAACATTTGGCAATCGGTCTCGCGTCGTAAAGTGCATGTGCTGAAAATGCTGAAGATTCCTGAAATACTGAAATACTTTAAAAGGACGTTGTCTGGATAACAACATTTTTAAATTTAGTAGAAAAATATAATAAATAGAAAATATGGAAAATATTTATGTATTTGTGATTGAATATTTATTTAATTAAAACCAAAAAACTGAAAATTTTAATATTGAAATTAGTTGCAAAAATGGCGAATGCGCCGGGATAGTATGAATTTTACGAAAAAATGTTTAAATTAAAAATTAAATGATTCGAGGGGGGAAATATTAAATATATATTATTATAATTTAGTTACTTACCTATATTTAACTTGTTTATTGGACTATTAATAACAACGAAAACATAATTATAAAACACTTTATTTATGATGTGAATATCACAGTATATTTACAATAAAACACTTACGCTTTTTAGTAGTAAAAACCAAAGTAAATCCTCTTGTTAAGCTACCCTAAACAGTCTACATATTTAGTTACACATTTATTATTATTTAAGTAATAATATTAAAATTCATTAAATAGTTTCTTAATATTCTACGGTTTCTTCATTTGAATCGTTTTTAAGACGTCGATGTGCAATTCAAGAAGCCTGTGTTCCGGAATTTTATCCGATAGAAATTTGAAGATTTTGACGTATGTATCATGTTTTCCTCTTTCAGACATATTGCTGAAGATGTTTTCCTGAAAGTCCAGGAGTTGTTTTGTACTTTTATCGCTAACTCTTGGGCCAGTGTGGTTTCATTTGTAATCTTGGTACTTTTATTACTACTAGTACTAATGTTTGTTTCTGGGTATAATTCGCGCATAACTTCCAAAACTTTATCTTTCCCATTTTTTTTGTATGAAATCTTTTATATCGTTTGTTTGAATATTGCAATTTTCAAGAGCTGCTGAACGTCGAGTTTTGGAAGGGAACTCAAAATAAAACTCGCAATTTTTACCTACAAAATTACAATCAAATAAAAATACAAAATTACAAAAAATGTATCCTGATAATTACCTTATCCTCAGCGATATTAAATAGCTCTTTAATCTGTTCATAGCTATCCTCCATGTTGACAATCTTTCTGAAATAATAGCTATTGAGCGCCTTGTAGACATTGGAAACCACAGGAGACTTAAAAGGCAACTTATTGACCTCTGTCTCTGTTTTAGAGGCCAAATTACCCACAGTTTTGACTTCATAACTTTCTTCAATTTCTTTCTGCCACACGCTGGCCACCATGGGGTTTATCATGGTCTTTAGAACCTAGAGGAAAAAATATTCTGAATTTTTCCTGATATATACAACTTGGAACTTTGAAATATCTCAGTTAGTATGCTTTTTACTAAAATTTCCAATGGAACACCCTATTTTTTTATTGCAAACTAAAAATAGGTAGATTTTGTCTAAAACATTTTTTCATATTTGTAATGAAAAAAAATCAATTTTATAGATTTTTCTTCTGTATACGATTGATTCTGCAATAATTTTTCTATAAAAATATCACTTGTTTGGTAATAATTATCTTATTAAATTAAATCTGATTTTTTAAGTACCCACGATTTTTAAGTTTATGTTTTATACATTATTTTATTCGGTGATAATTATCAATTGCACTGAGAGAACAGTTTATTAACAATTAACTAGATTTATCAATAAGTAATAAATGCTTTATTCGATTATGGTGGAATAAACATTTATTTAGGACAAATAAAGCATTGATTAAAATTGTTTAAATAAATCTTGTTATTAAAAAATAAAGATAAATTTATAATAAATATGTTTTTTGTGAAAAAATAAATGCTTGTTTATAATAAATAAAGATTAATTTATAATAAATTTGTTTTATTTGTGATAAATAAATGCTTGTTAATAATAAATACTAAAATATTTAGAAGATATAAAGCTCTATTTGTAAAACCTATACTTCAATTCACTATAAATGTATCCAGCAAGTCGTTGAATCCATTGCTTTCTAAAAATTTGCATAGCTCGTCCATGGTTTGCAGATCTTCCATGTTTGGATTAGCCGGCACACAGAAAATGAGCGGTATTTTGACACTATAGGTACAATTTAAATTAATGCTATTACAAAAAGATTTCAAACGAAATACTGAAACACTGAAATAACAGACCATTCCAGAAACGTCTATGCTGTTTTGGTGCGTTTTGACAGAAGTTTGAGTACAATAAACAAGAAATAAATATTTATTCATTGTTAATATTAATTCTTACCTAAAAATAAATTCGAAATTTATAATAAATAAATTTTTAAAGATCGTCTAAGCAAATAGGTAGGTATTTATTTTTCCCAAATTTGCATTATTAATAATAAACATATGGACAACAAACAAAGTATTTGTTTCTGCTAAATAAAAAATATTACGCAGATTATTAATAGTTAAAAAGGTTGATTAACAATAAATTTACTTTATTTATTGTAAATAAATGCTATCCAAATAAAGATTTGTTAACTATAAACTACACTTTTTCACCAATTTTAATGCAAATATTTTTAGGAAAAGCTAATTAATTACCACTTCGTTCCATAGTAAAATCGAGGTCAGACCGCTCGTAATATATGGAAAGGGGTTGGAAAAAATATCGACTTGCCAAAGGTGGTTGTTCAACAGTCACGCCATTGCACTTTATTTGCATTTTATTTTACGTTTACACTGTTTTATTACCTGTGCTGAAAAACTAAACACGAAATTTGTATACGTATGCATATTATGCATCAATGTGGTAATAGTATATTATGTATCAAGTTTGATAAACGCCATTTTATACACGAATTTAATTTAGGCACGAGCGAGCTTGCGAGCGAGTGCTTAAATTAATGAGTGTATAGAAAAGTTTATGAACGAGGTGCATACTATACTTTTTCTACGACAAATACTTATTATTATCTTAAAATGATTTAAATCAAAAATTTGTATAGAGCGCCATCTATGAAACAATAGGGGAATCTGTGTGTTACCGCCAAATGTCAAATTTTTACATTTTATGAACACAATTATAAAGGTTATAAATCGAAATGTATTTCTTGAAAATTGTCAGTTTTTCACAGTGAAAGTAAAGAAAATGTTTTATGAGCACTTTACAGTGGAGTCCGTGCCCGAATTTAAGTTATAGTTTACTGCCGGCGAAATTAAAAGGTCAGTACAATGTTCATATAAACTTTTCAAATATTGGCGTTAAGAAACTATTTAATACTTTTGTATTTTTGTATTGAGATAATAAAATAATTTTCACATTTAGTATTATTTTACAAGCAAGGCACTTTATTTTAACGATTGTATGACATTTGTCAACTAACTTAAAACTAACTTCAGCCCGTGACTAAAAACCTGTTGCTAACTTCAGCCCGTGACTAAAGCGCCATAAAGCCACAACTTGTCAATTTGTATTTAAAAGGTCACTCAATATATAAGAGTCAGTGGCGTAACAAGATAAATGTTTTCAGCCAAATAATAATAATAAATTGTTTTTGTAATAATAAAATAATAGCAATAATTTTACTCATCAAAACAAAATCAAAAAGTTTCTACCAGAGTTTACTACATTCAAAGTTAAAGTCCACCTATTAGCCATTTTACTTAAGAAGATTCTACTTTCCTGTAAACAATGCTGGTACTAATTCAAATGGTAGAATTTTGAATATTTCATTTTAAATTTTAAACATTGTTAATTACTATCGGGCGCCAATCTCAGTTTTATAACTAGATTTTAATATAGACAACTAACTAACTAACCAACGAACCGAAATGAATCTCGAAACGGGGAAAGTGAATGTAATGTCGATCAGGCATCGGGATTTGAATATTTCATTGTGGCAACGTTAAACTGATTGAACTAAATTGTGTAAAATTGGCAGCCTCGCATTGGTTAAATCCGTTGAAAATTAAGTTTTCCTTCCGTCGTTATTGACATTTGCATTTCGGATAATAGCCAGACGATTAGGGATTGCAATTGCTGGATACCTAATCCAGCAATCCATGGATTCAGTGCATTTTTCAGCCTGCTGGATCTAGCACCGGGTGCTATATTTTAATTAACTTTCCAATTAACTTTCCAAATAAGTTTTTGATTTTTTCTGTGGTCAAAAAGTTGGTAAAACCCTTGTGTGAAAAAAATATAATTTTTTCTTACCTTTTTCTGTTTTTTGTATATTTTAAACAATTGTTTCTTAAAACAGCTTAGACAATAAATGCCGAGTTTTTGAAACATAAGTACCACTTCTCACACAATTTTTTTGTAATTACACAATAAAAAATCACCCTGTATATCTTCTTCAATCTGAATACAGAATAATGCCTGTATTCAAAGAAAAAACCTTTAGCTTCACAGACCTACAAGTAGGTCTGTGTTTAGCTTACTTAAAAGCTATTTGACTAGATCATCTATTAAAAAAAATATTTAGAATCTAGTTTTGCTCCTAAAATGAACTTACCAGAATTATTAGGTAGCAATTTGAATAAACCACATGTTGATAAAAATTTGTAGAATTGTGTAATTGATGTTTTTTATGATAATGTTTTAGACAAATATGCAACACTTTTGTGTATTCTGGGTTGCCTACAAAATAAAAAAGAGTACTTCTCGTAGCTTTCCAATTGTTTTAGAGATTGCGCCACTGGCAAAAATATACACAGTTTGAAGTATGAAAACATGTTGGAATTTTTTTTAAGAATTATCATTGATTAAATATCAACGGTATTATTCACTCAAAAGTTTAAATTGTTAACCTTTATAAAACATATACACTAATTTTCTTATTTATTTTACGTTAATAATGACTTCATTATAACACCGCTTTCGGTGATATAATGAGATACTTTATCCCACCCAAAATTTTGATTTTATAGGTTGGCTATACTTTAAACAGCATAATATTTTGCATATTGGTTATAATATTTTTATGATTTTTCTAGTACTTACGAGACTTTTCTGGCAATAAATTTTGTTTAACACCAAAGAAAATTTTTTTTCTTCTTTAACATTATTGTAAATAAGTAAATTAAGGACGGCATGGCGAATCGATTTTGACATTAACTGTCAAACCAATGACTGTGATACCAACTTTCTAAAGTAAAATTCGACCAAATTAAATTTAAGGCATAAAATTATTTTTTTTATAGAATTTTTGCAAAATAGATAAAATAGCATAAAGAATAAATAAAATGACGTCTTATGACATTAGTTCTTTAATATACTATTATTGGAAACAAATCATACATTAGAATAATCACTAAATTGTCCATATAAATGAAACTGAATTACACACACATTGATAAATTAGAGCGTACTTCCTATGTGATTAGATGATACCATTTTTCCTAGTAATTAACTATTTAGCAAGAAGTTTCACTTTGAGTCACTAATGTCACGAAATAAAATAAAATAAATACAAATATGCATAAGTAGCTTTAATATACATGGTCATGGAAAACACTGGTAATTCTAGGCAAATACATTTTATATGCATTTTGGTGAATTCTATCACTTTAAGAATCATTTCTAACAGTGAAATTGAGGTTTAAAATAATGTATTCTAAATGTCTGATTGATATCCTAGAATTACCAAAGTGTTATTCATAACACCCTGTATAAGTTTCCATTTGTGACATGTTTTTAAATTTTTAATAAAAACAGTTAAAAACACATGTGTCAAACATGTCAAATGATGTCAAAAAAATTAATTTATAATAAATTAGAAGGTAACTAGGGTTACCAGAATCTGTCAAAAAATATAGGGACATTTTGTGTGAATTAACCTTAATTTAAAAAATGACACAATCAACAATAATTAAGTAACGTCAAACTTACAATTTGCATTGTATTATTATGTCAATTTTGTAATTAAGGTTAATTCATAAAAAATGTCCCGATTTTTTTTTGACAGAATCTGGTAACCCTATAGGTAAATGGCATGTCAGTTACTTGAATAATAAATAACTCATAGGATAATATTTTATGTTAACTTTTACTTTTACCATATAACTAGACTTGCCAGACGTACCCCTTTTTGGGGTACAATACCCCTTTTTCTATATAGAATTTTCAAAATACCCTTTTTCTAAAAATCCAAAAGGGGTACCAAAAATACCCCATTTTAAGACGGTTGTATTTTTACATAAAACTTAATTTTGAACGGGCACGGGTCATTCGGCACTAAGCACTTTATCTTATATTAAATTATCATTTCTAACATTTTCTAATTCAAATTTACCGCTTTTTACATCTCCTATCTACCGCCTTTATTGCTACTGGGAGCGATGCGCATCA